CATTTCAGTTTGCCTGTGGCACACACTGGAAAAATAAAATCTACACAACTCTAAGGACCCATGTAAGAAGTTCTAGGCTTTTTTTTTTTTTTCTTCCTGATAGTGCATGTGTAGTAGTCACCAACTCCAGTCACCCCTAGGGTAACGCTGCAAGGGGTGGAATGATGATTCTCTTCTCCTCCTCCCTAGAGGACAGCTATGCCAAGTTTATGCTTCTGGAATCCTCCCTACTGTGCACTACACAAGTGGAGCTCCAAAGCTGACATCACTGCCCTGGGTCCCATCTTTCCACAGTACCAAGCACAATGTATTATGTTTTGCACATTGAAAACTTTATAAAATACTACCTGGAAGCTCCATACAGTTTTTAGTTATTCCTGGAGGTGGCTATTTTCATTTTGTTCATGATCTGATTCTATAAATCCAGGCTGGGATAAACAGAATTTAAGGCAAAGCTCCTAAAATTTCCACAGCATGTCTCATTTCCTAATTTGCAAATAGCAACGATAGAGTTTACAAAGTTCAGTCTGAAAAACGAAGGTAGGAACAAAGAGCTAAGTTCAAGAAAAGAAAACCTTACTGCAGGCTGCTCCCCTACCACCCTAGATGAAGACGAGATAGTGATACCCTAAGCTGTTTAGCTGCCTCCAGCTGGCTGCTGGAAAGAGCTCAGAGGCTTGACCAGATAATCAGAGGAAGCATCAGAGAGCTCCACAAAGCCCTGAAAAAAACATGCTGCTGGGTGCCATGCCCGTATATTACCTGAGGCTCACCATGCTCTAAGAGAACAAGTGGGCCAGAAAGCAGTTCTCTAGAGCGGAGAACTTGACTCTGCACCTCCAGGACACTTCTGTAAAACGGCATCATAGATGTAGAATGCTGGCCCACAATAACCACCCTGCACTATATGAGCCCTTTCATGTAACAATTCAACCCTTGAATCAATCCTAGTCGATGCTATCATTATTTTCAATGATAAAATAATTTGCCTCTCATCTCAGCCATATCATAAGTAAATTACAAAGCTGGAATTTTGCTCAGTGCCTGAGTTCCACTCCCAATTACTAACACTGTTGCTGTCTCACTTTTAAAACCAAATGTGTTCTTTCAAAAATTGTGTAGAACTCAAGTGGCAGCAAATTAAATTGTATTTTAAAAAGAACCATGAGGGGCAGTACAGACAACAAATATGAACCCCTTTGCATATACAGTACTGAGTTGTCAGTGAAAGCAAACATGGGTATAGGGACGGATAGATGGGTGAACAAGTTAAACTATTAGGTATGTCTAAATGGAGAGTGTATCCAAGATCATATACAGGGTTGGCAGACAATGGGCCTATAAGTTCATGTGAATGATCAGAATTCCCAGGTGTATAGTAGAGCTGACAAGGGGCAAGGTTATGGTCATTACTTGTTCACAGCCAGCTACCCAGAGGGACCGAGTAGTTGATCCTGCGGGCTTGGGACCATAGTCGCAGGGGACATCAAGCTCAATTGGCATAACATACTATACAAAACATTGTTCCACCTACTACTTTGGCGAGTAGCGACTGGGACCTTAAAAGCTAGGAAGCTGCCATCTAGATGCAACAACGGGTCTCTCCTTGTCAAGAAGAAAAAAGAAAACCAAAATTAATGGAAACAATCAGTCCTAGCGACTGGTACACCATCCGATCTGCAACCTATACAACTATGAGACCAGAAGAACTAGATGTTGCCCAGCTACCACTGCCATCCACTTGGAAGGGATGTAGGAGATCCTGCATAAAGAGGGAGAACAATGTGGTACAAAACTCAAAATCATTTGAAGGCAAAAAAAAAAGAAGGTGGGGACCAGGTTTGCTGGTCCAATAGAGCCTGGTGGAACCACTGAGACTATGGCCCCTAGCTGCCCTTCAGGTCTGGAATTGAACCCACAACTGTGGTTTCCAGCCAAACAAAGTACAGGCATGTGAGTTAAACATTTACCTCAAGTAGACACACGCCCTGGAGAGAACAATCATGGGAGAAGGAAGGGCTGCTTATGCACAGGGAGATAGCTCAGGGTGCAGAAGAATATGAAGGGATGGGCACTGGGAGGAGGTAATTATGGGGAGGAAGTGGGAGGGGAGCTGCTGCATTGTAAATTTTGGTCAATGACATGAGACAAAGTATATGTGAACTGCTGTATGAAAAGTGAATTTACTCTGTAAATCTTCATCCAAATCCTAATTAAATAAATAAAAGAACCATGAGGCAATTCTATAAAAAACTCTTGTGAAAAGTAAATAATCTTCCATTAATATTTATTATAAATACAGACTTCCATGGTTATTTCCAACCAACTGCCACTTTCCCAGGAGCCTTGGTAGTGCAGTAGTTAAGCACTCAGCTGCTAAGTAAAAGGTAAGCAGTTCAAATCCACCAGATACTTTGCTGTGGCAGTCTGCTTCCAAATAGACTATGGAAAGACATGGAAAGGCTATAGAGCAGTTATGCTGTTGTTGTTGTTGTTATGTGCCGTCAAGTCGGCCCCGACTCATAGCGACCCCAGTTATATCCTGTCCTATAGGCTCACTATAGGAGCTCTGGTAGCATAGTGCCTAAAGCACTTGACTGCTAACCAGAAGGCTGGTGGTTCAAACCCACCAGCCTCTCCTCGGAAGGAAGATGGGGCAATCTACTTCCATAGTGATACTGCCTCGGAAACCCAAGGAAGGGTCACTGTGAGTCGAGCCTGACTCAACGGCACATAACAACAGGCTCACTGTGAGTTGGAATCAACTTGAGTGCTATGGGTCTGGTTGTTTTTGTTTTTTTTTTTTTTTTCTCTGCCACTCTCCCAATGGACTAAGAGACCTCCAGGAAACAGACTTATCCCAGAGGGAAGGATTCTCTTATTATTAAGTTTCTCTTACTCAGCATCTCTGAAAAGCATGTGTTTGGAAGAATATTCAGACTTCTTCCATCCAGTTAACTACTCATTTTCCAAAGTTCTTGTTCCTGACATTACGTCGGTCCCCAACTCACAACAACCTCATGCACAATGGAACAGAATGCCACCTGGTCCTGTGCCATCCCCTAGATTGGTTGTGGGTTGGACCACTGTGATCCACAGGTTTTCACTGGCTAATTTTAGAAGCACTTGACTGCTGACCAGAAGGCTGGCGGTTCAAACCCACCAGCCACTCCTCAGAAGGAAGATGGGGCAATCTACTTCCGTAGTGATACTGCCTTGGAAACCCAAGGAGGGGTCGCTATTAATCGGGTCCGACTTGACGGCACATAACAAAAACAACAACAATTTTCAGAAAGTTTTCACTGTGATCCATGGGGTTTTCAGAGCTGATGCTTTAGAAGCACATTGCCAGGCCTTTCTTCCTAGTCTGTCTTAGTCTGGAAGCTCCACTGAAACCTGTTCAGCATCATAGTAGCATGCAATCCTCCACTGACAGACAGCTGGTGGCTGGGAACAGAACCCGAGTCTCCCGCATGGAGGGCAAGCATTTTACTACTGAATTGCCAACAACCTCTTTTCCAAAGTTAGTTTCCATTTCAGTATTCCAGAAGGAATGCCATTTTACTATAATTCACTGTGGGGAATCTCTGAGTGGTGAAAACAATTCACATGCTCAAATGCTAACTGAAAGTTTGGTGCTCTGGGTCCCACAAAGGTACCACAGAAGCAAGGCCTGGTGATCTACTTCTAAAGAATTAGCCATAAAAACCCTACAGAGCATAGTTTTACTCTGACACTCATGGAGTCACCCTAAGTCAGACTCAACTAGATGGCAACTTTTTTTGTTTGTTTTTAATTTGAGAGTAATGGCACAACTGAACTATACTACCAAGAGAACAGAATTCCATATCCTACATCTAATAAGAAGTTGCCTGGGATAATAGTATCTGAGCTTCATGGGGTGACCTGAAGATCAGAGAAGGCAAATGTGTATAGAAGTCACTTTCCAAACTGCTGTTTAAATCTGGAGTCTTACATCATATTTCACAGGAGAAGCCAATGCGTCTCACAATCAGTGCCTGTGTCTTACTCTCTCTCTGCTGAGGCTGCAAATCCCTCCCTGAAATCCTTCCCAATCCTGCTAATCTCCTTAAACCCTTGATTACAGCCTGGTGAAGCAGCAGCAAGACCAACTCCCATTTCACTCAGAAACTCAGCAAAAAAAGTGTGAGTCTTGCAATAGCACTCTCTTTTCGAAATCAAGGGCTATTCCAAGATCCTTCAGAGATCAGGATTTTTATTTTTGACTCTTGTAATATTTGTCCCTACATGAGTCCGCGAGGCTGGTTCTTTCTAAAAGCAGAAAAAGCCTTTATAGTTATGAATTTCAATCACTGCCAATGAAAATGAAGCCACAAATGTGGCCCTGCATCTGAGTTCTTCTAGTCCTGGAGTATTCATCACTCCTTTGGGCACATCACACCTCAACCACCCACAGCGGTTGGCACATTACAATCAAAAACTACCTTCTCAACCACCTGCCACAATTCTCATCAAGGTTGTGACTTGTGACTGTCTTTTCGGTGTGCCTCTTACACAACTTCCCCTCCCGCTCCCCTGCTTCCCGTCTACCGCCCAAGACACCACAAGAGAGGAGGAAGCTGGGCTACCTAGTAAGTGGGCAGTACATACTGGCCTCCTGTGGCTGCCCGGCGCAGCGGTTCTCTAAGTGCCGTCCGCTGACCCACAGCATGTACTCTCCGCAACCTAGTTAAAAAAGTAAATTCTTGACAGCCTCAAACCCTTAGAAACAGAAACTGCACTGGATCAGCGATCAATAAGCCCTGCTGGTGGTGCTGAAGCTTGCTACAGTGTTAGAAGCAGTACGTCCTCCAGGATTTTGAAAGAAAGTTGAAACAAGGGCCAGTTATGATTCACAGGAGATAAGACCTCAATGGAAGCGGGGTAGTGGGAATCTGGACGAGCTTCAGACGCGAAGGGACGAGACACAAAAGGGTGGGTGCCAGCAGGGACAAACACCACATCCCACCCGCACTCACAGCCTGAGCGGGTCGTGGAAGGGCAATGCCAGCCAGGCACCGTGCAGCTCCCCCATAAAGTTCAGCATTTCCTCCGCGCTGCCGTCGGCCGACACAAAGACCACTTCGAAGGGCGCCGGCAACTGTGCTTCGTCCACCAGCTCCGAGTAGAAGTCGCAAAGCAGGGGCGTGAAGTCGCGGCTTGGCGCGCACCTGCCCGCTGCGAAGTACAACGCCACCACCTTGTTCTGCAGTGCCGCCTCAGCCTCCACCGCTGCGCCGTCGCGGGTCACCAGGTGCCGGCCGCCCAGAACGTCCACCATGGCGCTGCACGAGCACGGGCACGGACACAGGTACAGCCACCTGCCCTCGGGACCGGCGAGTGCTCGCTGCAGTGCCCCGCCCTAGCACTGGGGCGCCCCGGTCAGCACCGCAAGCTCAGCCTCGACTTCCGGCCGGGGTAAGGGCCGGGGCGTCCTCACTGGAGAGAGGGACACTCACCGAATCCCACTACCCTAGATGCGGCGTAGGAGTGGGCAGCAGCAACAAAGCGGTGCTCACTTCCGGGAGCCGCGCCCGCGCTCCGGGCCCTCCCGCCTAGTGCTCTGCCCCTCCCTACCCCTCCCTACCCCTCCCAGCAGAGTTTAACTCCAGGTATCCTGCCGCCAACTCACTTGTGCACTCGAGCGCTGGTTTCTCACTGCAGATCTGGCCCCAGTTTAACTCCTGGGAAGGTGGATGAGGAAGGTGGGATACGGGTGGGAGAGAGGCTAGTCCAATAGCAGGGATGTGGCGGAGCGATGAGAAGACCTGGCTCTGTTTCTGTCAATTTGCTTCCTGGCTGAACAGGTGTGTGGAGTCTTGAGAGAAATTGGAGAGGGTTCTTAAAAATTGAGGGTTCTTTAAAAATGTCTTGTTTAGAGAACAGGAGCAGCTCTGGTGGCGTAGTGCCTAAGGTATTTGACTGCTAACTAGAAGGTTGGCGGTTCAAACCCATCAGCCACTCCTCAGAAGGAAGATTGGACAATCTACTTCTGTAAATATTTACGGCCTGGGAAACCCAAAGGGGGTCGCTATGAGTTGGAATCTACTCAATGGCAGTGAGTTTTTATTTAGAATTGAGAAGGAGGGACAATGTGCCTAGCACACTGCTAGTCTAGGCCCTGGAGGTGCAGCTGTAAACAAAATAGTAAAAACTTCGTGCCAGGGCTGGGTCTAGGGTGAGGGAAGTGAGGCATTTTCATGAGGTGTAAAATTTAAGGGAGTGCCAAAAACTCAGTATTCAAAATTTTTTTTTTTTTTCAATTGTGATTTGGGTGTAAGTTTACAGAGCAAATTAATTTCCTGTTCAATAGTTCATACACGTTGTTTCATGATTGACTTCAATCCCCATAATGGAACATCTCTCTTCCCACTTCCTCCCTGTGGTTAACTTTTCCCTTGCCTTCTTTCCTATGTATTCCTGCCCTCTGAGCTGTTTCCTTGTGCAAATACTGCCCCTCTGGTCGCCCATGATTGATTGTTCTAAGGAGTATACCTACCTGGTATAAATGTTCACCCTATACGCCTGTCTGTTGTTTGGCTGGAAGCCACAGCAGTGAGTTCAATTCCAGGACCAAAAAGGTGACTAGGGACCAGTCTCAGGGGTTTCACCAGTCTCTACAAGACCAATAAGCCGGGTCTTTTTTTTTTTTTTTTTTTCTCGTAATTTTGAGTTTTGTTCCACACTTTTCTCCCATTCTATCCAGGATCTCCTATTTTGATCCATTTCGGAGGAGTTAACAGTTGGAGGCAGGCACCATCTATTTCTTCTGGTCTCAATGTCACGTAGGCTGAGGTTCACATGGTGCACTAGTCTCTTGAACTAATTGTTCCCATACATCTTTGATTTTTCTTCATTATTATTTGCTCTAGACATGGAGAGACCAGTTATTGCAACTTAGATCACTACTTGCAAGTTTTACTTTGACCAAAGTAGACCAAAGTAGTATGTTATGCCAAACGAGCATGATGTCCCCTGTGACCATGGTCCAGAGCCATTGGGCCCAGGGACTCTCCCACTCCCTCAAGGTGTTTGGCTGTAGCTAGCAAGTTATTATAACTTTGCCCCATTAACTCTATTACATAAGATAATAATATTTTAGTGCAGTATTTTAAAAGTTCAACATTAAGGCAGAAAGGCTCATGATGAACAAAATAATTAAGAATTTTTTAAAAGATGGATCCTACCCTGGCCTTAGAAGCCTGGCAGTTCAAACCCACCAGCCACTCTTTGGAAGGAAGTTTGGGCAATCCACTTCTGTAGAGATACTGCCTTGGAAACCCAAGGTGGGGTTGCTATCAGTCAAATCTACTCCATGGCAGTGAGTTTGGTAGTTTTTAGTTTACCCTGCCCTAGCACAGTGCATCTTACTCACCTCACCCTAGCCCGAGGCCGTGCCCCTGCCTCGTGAAGCTATCATTCCAATGAGGACTATTTATCAAATAAATCATATTTATTTAATACACAATTTACAAATTGGGGCAACATATCGGACTAGAGAGTCAAAAATGTTCCAAAGAAGACTCTACCCAGATTCTTAAACTCCAGCTTGTTGTAGAGGAAAAAGATTCCAGATTTAAATTTAACCAAAAGAGATTTTTATTAAATCAAGATAAAAAACAAACATTCAAATGATTGAATGAAAGAGATCTGCCAATGTGCAGCAGGCACCAAGACACTAGCAGAAGCCACTAAACTAAACTATGTCAACAATGATTATAGCAATTATTAATATAGTTATTCAAATTCCAGTTGTCAGAATAACAGAATAAATCACAGAGAGACAGACCACCTAATATACTGTTACAGAAGGAAGTAAAATTGAGAGAAATTCTGATTGATTATTTCTTAATACATCATTGTCAAAGGTGGAATAACAGAAGCAGGAAAGGGACCGTGTTTGGGATACATATATGTAATTGTTGTTGTTGTTGTTGTTATGTGCCATCGAGTCAGCCCTGACTCATAGCGACCCCTCCTTGGGTTTCCGAGGCAGTATCACTACGGAAGTAGGATTGCCCAACCTTCCTTCCAAGGAGTGGCTGATGGGTTTGAACCGCCAGTCATCTGGTGAGCAGTCAAGTAATTTACAGGCTTAAAAAAAAAAAGGTTAAAGGATTGGTACTGGGGTTTTAATTAACTGGTCGCTTGGTAAAAGGGATCAACTCATGATGATGCAACCCTGAGCCTTAGTTACAAGGTGGTTTCTTAGAAGAAAATACCAAGACTCCAACCCTTAATTTAAATCAGATAACATGAATCATGGAACAATTCCTTCTTGTTTTACTTAGCTAGAGTTATTTAGTAACCAGTGGAGAAACCTGTTCTGCCAGTTTTCTGTTATATAACTGGGGGAAAAGGGAGCCTGTACACCTTTTGGTGGTCTCAACCCTCAAGATCAATCTCTCCTTTTGAGCAAGGATTTCAGTTGAACATCTTTTGATTATACCATCATTGTCTTTCAGCATGGATTCTTCTTACATTATCTTTAGTATAGACTTGGCTTCCCTAGATTATGACCTATACGTTTTAGGCCTTTAAATCCATGGCTGCTTGGATTTTGCTGTTCAGGTTTATTGCCTATATTCTAAGCCAGATACCATCTGGTTCTTTACCATGCACCTATAATCTCTGCTGGATATCATCTGATTCTTCACCATGCTCTATGTTGATTTTCACCATACTATGGGGATTCGGGATACAACTATTGGAGACCTTAGCCAAATTGAAAAAGATTACCTTGACTTTTTCAGGAAAACTAGTTCAAGGTGCAGGACCCACCCACTGTGTTATAAAAGTATGCACAGTTAATATATATTAGTTGTTTTGGGATATGTTTTTGCCTGACCTTGGCTACACATTTCATAATATATTTAACTATGCCAACAATGATTATAGCAATTATTAATACAGTTATTCAAATTCCAATTGTCAGAATAACAAGTCCAGTTTGCAAAAAAAACATTCTTAGCCATAACCCTGTTCCTGTAGTAACTGAAAATGTTAGAAAAGAATGGCACTGCTATCGAGGGTATGGAATGTAACCAAATATTTTTTAAATGAATTTTATGACTGTCTTCTTCCATTTCTCCAGTGGCATTAATCCTGGAGCAACAGGAGGTGTTTGCCACTGACTGAGTCAAGCTGACAAAAACATTATCTTTTCAGGTCTCAGCGGTTATTACAAGGCATAGTAACAAAGAACTTAAGAAAGACTTCATAATGAAGGAAAATTATCCAGAAGAAATAAACAAGAGCAATTAGCATACAAATGACTGAGAAACTAAAACATCAAAAAGCAAATCCACTGCTATCAAGTTGATTCTGACTCAGAGTGACAGAGTAGAACTGCCCGCATAGGGTTTTCAAGGCTACAATCTTTACAGAAACAAACTGCCACTTATTTTTCCTGTGGAGCAGCTGGTGAGTTTTCAAACTTCCACCATTCTGGTTAACATCCACTTTAACCACTGCACCACTAGGACTTGAGAAACTAAAATAGGATCAAGGGCATATATAAGTAAACAAGAATGAGTGTGGCAAATAACTTAATGATTAAGATACTAATATGAAAATCATAAAGGAATGTTTTTCAGTTAAAACATATGGAAAAGTTTACCTATACAAATCTGTCTTATCAATTAATAAAACCTAATTGATAGAACAGAGCTACTTCCAAAACAATGAGGGCTTGGCACAACAATAATTTTATTAACATTCATTCACTGAGGAAAAGTTATTAGCCCACCAACCCTAAAGGCATGTGAGACAAAAGGATAGCAAATGCTAGAAAAAGAAATACAGTGTCCAAGAATTTTATCTCTTTGTGGTCCAGTGTTTAAGTGTAAAGGGTTTACAGGTCCTAGATCTTAAGATGAGTTGTCTATACCAGATTTCGCTGTTTCTCATACTGGCAATTTTTGAATTTTCATTTGAGTTTTCTTGATTGAACTGTCCAAGTAGAAGGAGCAATTTTCTTCAGTTGGGAGAAGTGTATCTAGGTCTTAACTCCCTGGCATGAAGATTAGCAAGGAAAACTACATATAATCCTTTTAAATAAGCCTCAAGGAATCTTTAACTTTTCCTATATATATATTCCCCTTGAATAAATATTAGGCAGATTTGAGATATTATGTTTTTGATTGTTAAAATTTCCTTTAACCTGTGAAAACATTCTTAATTGACAATATTTAACAATACTAGAGTTGATATAAATAACATAAGGGAGGGCTATTTGGTTTATTATAGTTATTTTAGTATTCATTTCTTGGAGTCCACAGG